CTGTAGCGGCAGGAATTCAAACGCTGGCCTCTATGATCAGGATGTGTCATTCCCCTCTATGCCCTTTTCTGGTCCTCTCTCTCCCCTCTGTGAAAGAGGAGGAGGGATCACTCAACAATTCTCTTTTTTACTGAGGACAAATTCACATAACAAAATTAACTATCAACCATCTTCAGTGAACAATTCTGTGCCTTTTAATACATTCACAGTGTAGTACAACCATCACCACTATCTAGTTCCAAAACTTTTTCATCACCCAAAATAGAAACCCCGTGTCCATTCAGTAGTCACTCCCACTATCCTCTCTTCCCAGCCCCTGGCAACCACTGATCTGCTTTCTATCTCTCTGGATTTACCTATTCTTGAAGTTTTATATATAAACAGAATCTTACAATATGTGACCTTTTACGTCTGGATTCTTGCATTTACCATAATGTCTTTGAGGTTCATCCATGTTGTATCAGTGCTTCTTTCCTTTTCATGGCGAATAATACTCCCTGGTATAGACAGTCTGCATGGTGTTCATCTGCTCATCCATTGATGGACAGTGGGTTGTTTCCAACTTTTGATGATTGTGAATGGTGCTGCTGTGAACATGCATGTTTATGTATTTATTCCTATTTTCAGTTCTTTTGGGTGTATACTTAGGAGTGGAATTGCTGGGCCATATAGTAATCCTACGTTTAACATTTTGAGGAATGCATAATTCTTAAACCACCATCTCTAAGGCTGAGGGTTTAGGAGCTGGTCCCTGGCTGCTTCCTCGCCATCAACTCCCACCCTGGTTGGTGCCCTCCATTCAGCTCACCCCAGCAAGACCCCCTCCCCAACTCAACGATGACCCCAGCGTCTCATTGACATGCTGAGTACTCATTCCCTCCCTGTCCTCTGGAACTTGGCTGAACAGGATCCTTCCGGATAAGACTAGAGCAGCTGGCACCCTCCTCCTTGAGAGGGTCTCCAGAGGGTTCCTTCTGGCAATCAGCTGTTTCTGCCCCTCATCTTCCCTTCCACCACTCTGTGATTTCTTGCCTGAATCCTTGGCCATTCCATGTCCTTTCATGCCTCTGAGCATTAGCTCAGGCCTTACCTCCCCTTTCTTCTGTGACTTCTGAAATCTCGCAGGCCTTTCAAGGGGCAGCACGCCCCCCAACCCAGAATTAATTTCTCTGTTCCCATGGCACCTTGCTTATACCAGCAAAAGTCAGGGTTCCATTCTGTCTTATACAGAATTAGTTGTTGACAGTGAGCTGGAAATTTTTTCACCTGCATATCCTGCCAGGTTATTTTAAGAATTTATCAACATGATGTGTAAAGCAGCTAGTACATTAAATTCTCCCATTTTTCCCCCTTCATTCCTCTGACACTAAATTATGAGCTTCAGAAAGAGAGGAGCATTTTATCCATCTTCGTTTTCTCCTATGTCTAAATAATGCAGTGCCTTGCCTGAAACAGGTGCCTAATTAATTTTGTTGATTGAATTAGTGGGCCAGGGACAGTGAATGAATGACATTAATTCTTCTGATTGTTGGAAATATAGTGTGCTAAGAACTAACGTCTGATAGAGATCAGGTTTCGTTATAAGGTCAGTTTCAACTGCGGGCCACTGAAATATCACTGAGATATATTTCCCAGTGTGACATTTTGTAATTGAAAGTGTATAGATGTGACTTTCACTTTTGCAGAGCATTCAAATGTTAATATGCTAGCTCTCCGAGATTCTCGCATTTTCAAAAACACGTCTAATGGAAATTGAACTGTGTGGAGTCTTAAGTGCTCCCGTTTGAGACCAATGCTCTTAAATGAGAGACAGCAACTACTCTTTCTACCTAGTTACCAGGCTGCTAAAAATTAACAGGCTTGCATTTGAGTTGGCTGTTCTGGAATAGATCAAAATATCCATTGAGTTATCAAGGAAAGAGTCTGGTTTCTCAGTTAATTTAAGGTCGCACCTTCCAAGCCCATGCTTTTCTCGATAATATTTTCTCGGGTGAAAAGCAGTAAAATTTCCCCTCTGAACTAGATCATTTGTACTCATCAAGCCCCATTGCTTCTACAGTAGGTGTTTTGTTATTCACTGACTTAATTGATGTTGTAATGAAGGGTTTGGGGTCAGGCAGTCCGAAGCAATCCTATGACCGAATCCAAATACCATAACTCCTCCGAGCTTCCATCTCGTCGTCTCTGAAATGGAGAGATACACTACTGCTGGTTGAGCAGATTGAGGGGAATAAAGTACCCTTCAGAACGGTCACTTCCACCCTGGAGGAATCCCGATCCCCCACTGGGGAGAGAAGTTTTGCCGGCCCTGCAGGGCCTTGCTCCACCTGCAGTGCTGAGTAGAAGAGGCATGATTATGGTTTTGTTTATTGTTTTCTTTTTCTTTTTTTGGCTGCGCCGTGTGGCATGTGAGATCTTAGTTCCCTGACCAGGGATGAACCTGCACCCCCTGCAGTGGAAGCACGGAGTCTTAACCACTGGACCACCGGGGAAGTCCCAGAAGAGGCATTATTATTCCCAGTGCACTCCCAAAATTTGGGGCTCTGATGCTCTAACCATGCTGTTAGCTAGGATTCTGTTTGCAAGCAACAGAAATCCATTCAAAGTAGTGCAAGCAAGCTCAGAAAAGTGGGGAAGGGGGAGGCTTTCTGGACTTTCTTACCAAGGCACTATTAGGATGGGAACACTTTTCCCTCACTCCTGATGTTTCCTCCCATGTAGAGGGACATCTTTGAGCCTAACACTCCTGGCTCTCCCCTGCCCCCACCCACTCACCCCCCGGGAAGGTAACTCAGGTCTCCCCAACAGGTTCAGAAGTGGATGCTGCACTCATGGCTGAGCTGAGCTGCAGGCTTGAGATGGAACCAGGGAGTCCTCCACATGCCGGACCCACTTTCTCTCTCCTGTGGCTGCTTCTCTCTAGTGCACAGGCCACATTCTTCTCCATGAAAAGATCCTGTTTGTGGACTTCCCTGGTGGTCCAGTGGTTAAGACTCTGCTTCCAATGCATGGGGCCTGGGTTCGATCCCTGGTCAGGGAACTAGATCCCGCATGCCGCAACTAATGATCCCGCATACGGCAACGAAGATCCCGCATGCCGCAACTAAGACCCAGCACAGCCAAATTAATTAATTAATTAATTAAACAAAAGACCCTGTTTGAACGCCAGCTCCTCTTACAAGGTAGATAGTGGCTGACCCAACAGCTTCCAGGACTCTGGCCCAGCCGGGACCAGTCAGGTATGACCAGTGGGGTGGGGTCACACAGAACAGACCTGGCTGCCATGTCTACACCCCTGTAGATGGAGGGAGAAGTTTCTGAGAATGGTGAATGGTGACATTTGCTGACCCTGGACTCAGACAGCTGAGTTCTGTTTTCAGATCCACCATTAACATCTATGTGCCTCAGTTTCCTCATCTGTAAAAAGGGTGTGATATAGCATTGTTGTGGGTGTTAATAATAATAAATGTTAATAATACTGTATGTAAAGTGCTTAGCACAGTGGGCAGCATGTAGAAAGGACTTGGGAAACAGAGTAATAATGAGAAGTGAATGCTTCCGTCGTTCTGAGAAACAATACAGGTCTATACCCAGTATTGTAGGTACACAAGGAAAATACATGTGCCAAGTAACAAAGCATGTATTTAGTGAGAAGACCCACAAACAAAAAGATGCACAGAGAGTATGTTTGAATGGTGGCCTGGGGAGAGGGGGATGGAGGGGGGAGAGGTGACAAAAAGAAGCAAATAAACAATGGCCGGGGGAGGTTTTGCTCCAGGCCCACAGTGCAAAAGGCAACTAACAGAGCTAGGTGCCGGGATTTGGGATCAGGGCTTAGGAGCAATGTGGAGAGAATCAACCAACACACCTGTAAAGTGGGAGCTGGGAACCCTGACTCCCTGGGGCTGCATAGAGTAACTATGCACTGGGCTCTGGGCCTGTTCCAGTTTCAAAACTGAAAATCCCACATTGCAGGGACCCCTCTCAGTCCAGAACAAACTCGGGAGAAGTACACCCCCCAAAATGGGCCACCGGATACACCTCTGGATCTGCAGGATTCCCAACCACTGATATTCTGTATGTGAACAGGGCAGAGGGAGCTCCCTGCTTCCCACATTGAGCAGTCATCATGATGTCTGCTGTGAAGTTTCGTCCGTCTGGGTCTTTCCATCGTGTAGAACACAGGCCTGCCTTGCTTATCCCAGGTTGTTGATGCCCTGAGCTTGCCAGCTCACCTACAGAGAGCTCTCAAGCCAACTCTGTCCCCTCTCTTTGTTTTTCCATCTAGAAAATGGGCATAATAATCCTACCTGGCTACAAGGTCAAATGAAAACACATGTGAACAGGCTTTGATTTAAAGTGTATATTCTGGGGAATTCCCTGGAGGTCCAGTGGTTAGGTCTCGAAGCTTTCACTGCTGTGGCCTGGGTTCAATCCCTGGTCCAGGAACTAAGATCCTGCAAGTCACGCGGTCAAAAAGTTTTTTTAAAAAAGTTTATATTCTGGGCTTCCCTGGTGGCACAGTGATTGAGAATCCACTTGCCAATGCGGGGGACACGGGTTCAATCCCTGGTCCGGGAAGATCCCACATGCTGCGGAGCAACTAAGCCCATGCGCCACGACTACTGAGCCTGCGGTCTAGAGCCTGCGAGCCACAACTACTTAGCCCGCGTGCCACAACTACTGAAGCCCGTATGACTAGAGCCCGTGCTCCTCAACAAGAGAAACCACCGCAATGAGAAGCCCGCGCACCAAAACAAAGAGTAGCCCCCGCTCACCGCAACTAGAGAAAGGCCACACGCAGCAATGACCCAACGCAGCCAAAAATAAATAAGATAAAATAAATTTATTTTTAAAAAAAGTTTATATTCTGTATAAAAGCAAAGGATTTCATATTAGAAGAACCTTCTCCACTGTGTGGGGAAATTGTGGGGAGTGGGATACTTGGCCAGCAAGGGTGTGGTCTTGGTTGGCGTGACTCTGTGCTTCCGTTTTCTTTCAGGGCAGGAGCGTGTGACAGGGGTCTCTGTTGCCGGTGGAGGTGACCATGGCCTCCATGTTGCTCACCCGGCGGCTGGCCTGCAGCTTCCAGCACAACTACCGCCTGCTGGTGCCCGGTAAGCCCTGGGGAGGTCTCGGCAAGAACTGGCCCTAATGGAAGACACAATCCAGACTAGGGATTTGGGGTCTGAAAAAGTCCTTGGGGATAAAGGGATCCGCTGTCCCACCCACCCCCATAAAACTGTCCCCATCGCCACACCTCCCATCTCCACCATGTGTTCCTGTCCCCGAGTGGACAGCTCTGCAGTGGTCAGGGAGCCGATCCATCCTGGAGCCACTCTGCTGGCTCGGAGGTGGTGGTCCCAGCAGCCAGAAGGGCCCAGCTGGCTGCATAGGGATTGCTGGAGAAAACATATAGCTGGGTTTACTGCGGAGAAACAAGAAAACTACAGAAGTCCTTGTAATTCACCTGAAAGCTTCAAGGGCATTGGATGGGAGGCCTCATCCCAGGAATGTCCACCCCACCCTCTCCCTCACCCCCACTCACCCTGCACCCAACTGGCCAACAGCATTGGCTCATTCTGCCGCCGTGGTCTCTCTCAGATGCTTCTGTTTCTCTCTGCCTCGCTGAGTTCAGTGTAGCCCAGTGAGCAACCTGCCCGCATGATCTCAGGAGACCTCCCTCCCTATAGTCTAATGAGGAAGGAAAGGGTGAATCCCATTTTACAGATGAGAAAACTGAGGCTCAAGAAGCAAAGTCACACAACCCCTTGAATGCAAGTCAGTCCAGCTCCAAACGCTGGGTTATCATCACCACTCCCCCACGTGCCTCCCAGCAGCTCTGGGAGAGGGAGGCTTGCAGTAGCCTCCTTTGGACGCCAGCCCCTCCAGGCTGTCTCCAGTTTTCAGAGCCACGTGCTTGCTGTCACAGTGTCTCCTTCTTATTGTCAGTCCTGTCTGCCTTCTGAAGACAAATTGTTTGCCGAGGCCTTGATTTGCGTGTTGAATGTTGCAGGTGTTTATATCCTGAGTGCGATAAAAAGCAGGAATGTTCTCTCCCCTCCCACGGGTTTTATTTTTAAATAAACATTTTCTTTTGGAATATTTTAGGTATGCAGAGAAATTGCAGAGGCAGTACAAAGAGATCCCATATGCTCCTATTTTCTTTTAATATTTTAGGTATGCAGAGAAATTGCAGAGGCAGTACAAAGAGATCCCATATGCTCCTCACCTAGTTTTCCCCAGTGTTAGCTTCTTACATCACCAGGATGCATTTGTCACAACTGAGGAACTGACCTTGGTACGTTGCTCTGAACCAAACTGAAACTCAGAGAGGTTATGTAACTTTCCCAGAGTCTCAGAGCCTGCCAGTGACTGAGCCAGGCTTTGAGCCGAGCCAGATTGCCCCAGGACCCACACCCTTAACTACATATTAATTATCTATTGTGATATAACAAATACCTGCAAACTTAACAGGTTAAAATAATGCATGTTTATTATCTCACAGTTTTTGTGGATTACGCATCCAAGGCTTAGCTGGATGCTCTGGGTCCAGGTCTCTCATGAGGCACAGTTGAGCTGGTACCAGGGCTGTGGTCCTGTGTGAAGGTTCACCGGGGGAGCCAGGGATCCACCCTCAAGCTCACTCACGTGGCTGTGGCTGGATTCAGTGCCACGTGGATGTCTTCATGCAGCAGCTCACAACACGGCAGCTGCTTCCTCAGGGTGAGGGAGAGAAGTGGGTGCCCAAGTGGGGAGCCACAGGCTGCTACCACCCTCACTGTGTTCAGATGCTTCTGTGCAGTGCCTCCACCCACTGGATCACTGCAAAGCCATTAAACATGATGATAGTTAATGGCCTGAGACAGTGTTCCCAATGGCATCATGCAAAGCGTTTGTAATCTTATATCAGCAAGTAGAGCACAGAGACCGGGAGACCAGACAGCAGAATGGTTCTTTCTGGGTGGTGAAATTAGACGTGTTTGTTTTTTCATTGTTGCTTACTGATATATTCCTTGTTAAGAGTAAGTGGGGTGGACAGTTGAGGGGAGGGATAAGGTATATTGTTTTGTTTTTAAACAAAAGCAGAGCAAACAAACTCCAGTTGAACATGACCTTGATTTTGGCCAGGCTCACATACAGAACCCTTGCTATTGGGGAAAATGACATTCATTTATTACTCTCAGTAGAAGACTAAGAGGACGTTAAAAACATTGGATGGCTGCTTTTACAGTTTAGAGTTAAAAAATGACTCTGCGGATTGGCATGGCCACAGAGGGCTGGGCTGGATTTACCCACTATGCCTGGTCTTGTGTGTCAGGGCACACCCCTGCCTTCTCAGCGTGCTGCTTTATTCATGAATGAAAATGCTGGATCATTCAATATTAATTCAAACATTTTTGGCTTCCTTGTACTTTTGATAGTAATTTGCCTCTGGGGGAAGTGAGTCGTTTGGCTGCAAACGTTTCATTTGAAAGACCCACACTAGATGAAATGGAAAATACATCAGTTACATTCACAGTTATCTGGGAAAGGAGAGGTCCAACGGACAGATTTCCAGCTTAGCCACTCAACAGATGTGTGACTTTGGGCAAATTAATTGACCTTTCTGAGCTTTAGTGTCTTCTTTAACATGAGAATCATAATAACGTTTACCACCTAGGGGGTTGTGAGCATTACATGCGGTAATCCATGTAAATTGCTCAGAATAATGCCTGGTATGTTCGCCATTAGTGCTCAGTAAATGGACATATCTACTCATGCAACTTGGTATAAGCGATCCCAGAAAAGGCTTCCTTGACAATTTAAATCTTGCTGTTTTTTTTTGTGTGTGGTTTATGGCATTATATATCATCAAGAGAAAATTTATCGTATTGGTATTTGGTTATTTTCCTTACAAAAAAAATCAAAATTGAGATATAGTGGGAAAAGCACAAGTATTCTGGATTTTCTTTTTTTTTTTTGCGGTACGCGGGCCTCTCACTGCTGTGGCCTCTCTCGTTGCGGAGCACAGGCTCCGGACGCGCAGGCCCAGCGGCCATGGCTCACGGGCCCAGCCGTCCCGCGGCATGTGGGATCTTCCCAGACTGCGGCACCAACCCGCGTACCCTGCATCTGCAGGCGGACTCTCAACCACTGCGCCACCTGGGAAGCCCAAGTATTCTGGATTTTGATTCTGGCCTTGCAGCTCGCTAACTGTGTGACCTCAGGAAAGTTGCTTAACCTCTCTGATCCTCATCTGTAAAATGGGAACAACATCATTTCACAAAAAGGTTGTGGATTAATTAAAACAAGAGGTGAGTGTTTGCCTAGGTAGGGCCTGCCTAGCACAAAGTAGGGACTGAATCTGTGTTAGCTTCCCCATCTTCCTTTTCCCAATAGCACAGTTGCCAAAAAACTCACCAGGCTCTGATTTTCAGGATTTCTGCCCAGAGGTTTTGGCCCTCTTCCATCCATACCCACAAAGACTTGGCACATGGTAGGAACCAGTGCAGTTCTTGACCCAGACCCATCCGCCTTGCACCTGGCCATGGCCTCCCCGCCTCATGCCCCATCGATCTCTGCTCCCAGTGGAACGATCCTCCCCCTCTATCCACTGCCTCTCCTAGCTCCTACCCCAACCCCACCTCCCAGTCCTGTTTACTCATGGCCTTGGCATCCTCATAACCGTGACTCCACATGACCCCACATGCTCCCTGTCATCAGGATCCTTTCAGCTGCAGGTCCCACTGCTAACTCCCTCCATTTCCTGGTATTCCCGCTTTCCAACCCCCAAGAAGTCTGATTCCTACAATGCGATGTCAAGACATTTTCTGGAGAAAGGAAGGGAGGACTTGTGTATCCTCATGAGAGGACAACTTACTACTTACAGATTTTTCACTTTCCCCCTTTGCTGGAGACAAAGCAAGCCCAGCACTGGTTAAGAGCTCTTTTTATCCAAATAGGCATCCCTGTTGAATGCAGGTCTAGTTGGACTCAGTCTTGAGGAGCAACCCTGAGCTATGGAAGAGAGAAAGAGTTTACAGTTTTCTTAAAAGTCATCAGTGTGTTCCATGACCTTTAACTCTCTGCTAATGGAATAAATGGGAATTCCCTTTTCATTGTAAGATCAAACAAAAGATAATAAAAGCTGGTACCTTCATGCCTCAAAATAAGGATAGTGTTGGATTTTAACTGGATTTTATGTTCAAAGGGCTACACTTTATTGCATAATTAATTCAGAAACCTTCTTTGATATTCAAAGCAATTATGAAAAATTAAGAATGAATTTAAATGTTTTCTAATATCATGGCTTTTTATAGTTTGGCAAGTTTGTGTGTGTGTGTGTGTGTGTGTGTGTGTGTGTGTGTGTGTGTGACACAGAGAGAGAGAGAAAACAGAGAGAGATGCTAGCATGTTTTAGTGTTAGTTTCCTTTCCTATGTAATGCAAGCAATAACAACCTACCCCTCAGGGTTGTGGAAAGATAAAATAAGATCACACATATGATATATATGAAGCATCTAGAGATTCCCTAGTTTGATGCAAGTATGGCAACCCATATAAGAGGAACTCACATTTGCCAACCACCAAATATGTGCCAGGAAGATAAAAGATGAACAGAGACATTAAAAGGATTTCTAGGGGTTACTGATTATAAATCATTACACACTTATCTTGGATTCCGCACAGTGGTCTTTTGCTTAGGGATCAGTGAGACTTGGAATTGAAACTACCCTTCATTTCAGCAAGATGCTGAGCTAAAAAGCCCTGTGAGGTTAGCCTGGGAACTCAAGTTTATTTAACCCTCTACAAGCTTATTACTATGCAAAAAATGTGAAATCAGTTTCAAGCAAATGACTTGTGCCCCAAATATTTTTTAACCAAAAAAATCTATAAGTGAGGACCACCTGAATTTAGACATTTGATTATTCTCTCCTGGATGATTTTTGATTGATGCAACTAGGGGCACAACTCCCGGGTGGGTGCTACTGGCATCTAGTGGGTGGAGACCAGGGATGCTGCTAAACATCCTACAATGCCCAGGGCAATCTCCCACAGCAGACAGCGATACAGCCCACAATGTCAATAGGCCCGAGGCTGAGAAACTCAGGTCTATATATACATATGGATATAGATTAAATTTTTTACAAAATTTGGATAATTTTTATTATGGATACATAATATTCCCAGTATTCTGCTGTCTGTGAAATGGTAGAATATGGCATATTCTATTCAGCAACTCTCCATTGTTGGACATTTAGGTTGTTTCCTCTTTGTTGTTGTTAGAAACAATACTATGACAAATATTTTTTGTGTGTTTTTGGTTTTTTTCTTTTTTCTTTTGGCCTCCCTGTGCTGTATGCGGGATCTTAGTTCCTCGACCAGGAATCAAACCATGCCCCTTGCAGTGGAAGCACGGAGTATTAACCACTGGACCGCCAGGGAAGTCCCAATATTTTTAACCTATATCTTTGTGCACTGGTCCCATTATTTTCTTGGGATGAATCCTAAACACTGAGATTGCTCACTCGAAAGGAATAGGAAGCCGGCATCAACTTATCTTCACACCAGCAGGACGTGAGCATGCCTGCTTGCCTATAGCTTCACTGGCACCGGGCTTTCCCGTTTCTTTAAATCCTCAGGGTTCTTGTTGTGCCCACGTGGCCACACTCAGAGTTCTGGGGCAGTCTGGCGGGGATGGGGCTGAGGTACTGGCACTGCCTCTGTTAGGGACATTGGGTGTTATAAGGGCAGGAGTCTCACATCTGCTGTCCCCAGGGGTTCTCACCATCTTTGTTTACTGCAGGATCCAGGCACATCAGTCAGGCCGCAGCCAAAGTCGACATTGAATTTGATTATGATGGGCCTTTGATGAAGACGGAAGTCCCAGGGCCTAGATCTCTGGTGAGTTGAGCACAGCTGAATGGTGTGTTTCAGAAAAGAGCAAAAAGTGTCCATGGGGCAAGATCACAGCCAAGCTGAGGGCCCCATATCCTTAGCTGCTTTCAGAGAGTTCACCATTAGAGATCCTGAACCTTAAACCAAGCCATTCCGTCATAAGAAGCCAAAGAAGTCTTCTCAGAGGAGATGTATCAGTTGTCTATTGCCACAATAATGCTGTGTAACAAACAATCACAAAAACTCAGCAGCATACAAGTTGCGCATGCATCCAGGGTTAACTGGCAGTTGGGTAGGCAGCTCTCTTGGGCTCATCTACATGCCTGAGGGATGATTGGCTAGGCTTGTCTTGGGTCACTGTGGTGACTTGGCTCTGCTTTGTGCATCTCTCATGCTCCAGCCAGCCAGGCTGAGCTTGTTCTCACAGTGATCGAAGAGGAGAGCTTGCTATAGGCCTCTTGAGCTAGGCTCCACACTGGCCCACCATCATTTCCACTTCATTCTGTTGGCCAAAGCAAGTTACATGGCTTGCTTTGAGTCCAGAGTCAGGGGCTGGGGCAGAGCATTCCAACAACAGTGAAGGAACATGACAATGTGTTATGGCACAGGGCATGTATAGCACATGCCCCACTGAGCTTGATCTTAAAGGGCCACAAGGAGGAATTGGATGAAGGAGTGCATTCTGTTCTAGGCAAGGGGAATGGTGTACAGAGAAGCCCTCAGGGTGACAGACATTGGGTAGCTCTGAATCCCTGGAATTGATGTTAGCCTGTGACATGGAAGAGACACAGATGAGTCTCCTCAAAGAAGCTACAAAACCTGCATACAACACACTTTGGAAGGCTGGTTAACCTTGATTCTGTGTTGTAATGTGCAATACTGTTTCTAATGTTTGCACCTAAAATATAACAGTGTAAACCTTTTTACTACAAATTTATTTTCTTTGCAGATTTTATCCACAGTGTCCTTTTTTTTAAGTCAAAAGCTGTCTCTTTTGTCGTTGAAACTATTTAATAAATACAGAAATCTTTGTACCGATGTAAATGACTGTAGTTATTTTGCATAGTCTTTGGCTGACAAAAGACTTTTTTCATGCACATTTCTATTGGGGAGGGGTGGATTTTAATTTAATAATAGTAAAATACTTGGAATAAATTTCATATTCTTGTCATGAATATTATTTTGTATTTTTACCTGGAAATACATAGTTTTATGACACTAATTGCTAAAGTTTATTTTGACTTGTTTTTAAAGAAGAAATCCTTGTAATAGTAAAACCACTAGTTTGTAATTCCCAGTTTCTATGTGGAATTGTACAAGTGGGGTGTTCAGATTATGATTATAAATGGTCCTTTGATGTGCAAAATTCTATTTTCAGTTAATTTTATTTTCCTAATGGGGTGTTAAAGCCTTTTTTTACCCCTTAATAAAAAGAGAGCCCATGCTTTTCTGGACATTAGATAAATATCTTCAGTTTAAATTTTTTTGTTAAATAGTTTATTTGACTGTAATCTTTGAAGTGTCTAAACCTCCAGGCTGTCTGTTGTACCGGTAATTTAACTGGCAGGAATTGTTTCCTGCCAACTAATTCTATTAAGCAATTTAAAAATATTTATAATATTGGGAAAACATGAAAGATTTTAAGCTGCTCTGGCAAGCATGTGTCCTTACTATAATGCTTTTCTCTTCTCTCCTGCAGGAGTTAATGAAACAGCTGAATGTAATTCAGGTGAGTGGGAATGAAACAGCTGAATATAATTCAAGTGAGTGGGGATGAAATAACAATCCTTCCATTGCTTCTTTGTTACAATTTCGCCAAAGGACACAAACACTTAAATCTGTGCTGGCTCTTTTTTTAAAACATGCAGCTGGGGGCTTCCCTGGTGGCGCAGTGGTTGAGAGTCCGCCTGCCGATTCAGGAAACACGGGTTCATGCCCCTGTCCGGGAAGATCCCACATGCCACGGAGCGGCTGGGCCTGTGAGCCATGGCCGCTGAGCCTGCGCGTCCGGAGCCTGTGCTCCGCAACGGGAGACACCACAACTAATGGGAGGCCCGCGTACCGCAAAAAAACAAACAAACAAACATGCAGCTGACTTTTGATCTAAACATTTTTTTCTAATTTCCCTTGTGATTTCTTCTTTGACTCATTGGTTATTTATGTGTTGTGTAATTTCCACATTTTGGTGAACTTCCCAAACTTCTTTCTTTTTAAATATTTTTAAAATTTTATTTATTTATTTATTTATGGATGCGTTGGGTGTTTATTGCTGTGCAGGGGCTTTAGTTGCAGCGAGCGGGGGCTGTGCTTCTTTGCAGTGCACAGGCTTCTCATTGCAGTGGCTTCTCTTGTTGCGGAGCACGGGATCTAGTCATGTGGGCTTCAGTAGTTGTGGCACGCGGGCTAAGTAGTTGTGGCTCGCAGGCTCTAGACTGCAGGCTCAGTAGTTGTGGTGCACAGGATTAATTGCTCCGCGGCATGTGGGATCTTCCCAGACCAGGGCTCGAACCTGTGTCCCCTGCATTGGCAGGCAGATTTTTAACCACTGCGTCACCGGGGAAGCCCCCCAAACTTCTTTCTGTTATCGATTTCTAATCTCATCTCATTCTGTTGGGGTTGGAAACTTATTTTGAGTGATTTCAATCCTTTGGAATTGATTGAGCCTTTTTTATGGCCTAGCATATCGTCTATTCTGGAAAATGTTCCACGTGCGCTTGAGAGGGACATGTAACCTACTGTTGTTGGGTGCGGTGTTCCATGCATGTTTGTGAGATCTTTTGATCTGGAGTGTATTCACGTTAATCTTCTGCCTATTTGTTCAATCCACTGCTGAAAACCAGGTACCAAAGTCTCCAACTAGTCTTATAGAACTATTTTTCCCTTCAATTCTGTTGGGTTTTGCTCCATGTATTTTGGGGCTGTGTTATCAGGTGCTTATATGTTTATAGTCGTCTTGGTGGATGGACCCTTTTGTCATCATAAAGTGCCTCTCTTTACCTCTAGGAACATTTTGTTTGTTTTACAGTCAATATTGTCTGACATTAATAGATACCATTGCATCTTTCTTATGATTGCTGTGAGAATCATATATCTTTTCCCATATTTTTACTTTCAACCTCATTTGTATTCTTGAATCTAAAGTATGTCTCATGTAGACAGCATATAACTGAATCTTTTTATCCAGTCTGATGGTTTCTGATTTTTTTTATTGAATTGTTTAATCCATGCACAGCTAGTGTTATTATTGGTGTAGTTGTATTTACAGCTTCCATTTTATTTTTTGTTCTCTCTCTATCTCATGTCTTTTTTGTTCCTCTCTTCGTTTTCTACTAATTTTTTGTACATAAAATGAATATCTTCTAGCGTACCATTTTCATTTCTTTCATAATCACTATATATTTTTTAGTTTTCTTAGGCCCTAAGACTTACTATATACATTTTAACTTTTCAGAATTTTCTTCAGAGTTATATCTCAGTCTTTTTTGTTGTGATATATAAAACACATACAGAAAAAAATCATAAAATACAAATCCACAGCCTAATAAACAATTATAAAGCAAATCACCCATGTAATTACCAGCAGGGCAAAAAATCCAACACTGCCAGCACCCACAGATACCGTCCATGTGTCCATAAATGGGCAGGACATGGCTTACTTCATCAATTCAAGCTCAATCTTGAAAGACTGAGGATCTAGGGAATTGCAGTGAGCCTGATCCAGTCTCTCCTTTCCCCAAGAATGCAGAAGCTGTGCACTTTTTCTGCAATTACGAAGAGAGCCGAGGCAATTACCTGGTGGACGTGGATGGCAACCGGATGTTGGATCTTTATTCCCAGATCTCCTCTGTCCCCATAGGTAAGAGCTGGAAAATCAGTCCCTGAATGTAGCCTCTGTCTCTGTGTAGTTGTGGCTCTCCAGACTTCAGCCACTCCTTCCAAGATGTGCATCCTTGTGTGCAGCCAGACACTGCCCTCAAGGGCAGAGAAAAGGAACAAGTCTTTTGTAGCGCATGTATTACTAGGAACTTTACATGTCTTTTCTCATTTACTCCTCCCCCAAACCCTACAAGTATGGATCTGGGTAAATACGCCCATTTTGTAGGTAGATGAGCAAAGCTTGGAGAGGAAGCATAGGTAGAATGTGAACCCATGTCCAATGTCAGCAGTCCTAGGATTCCTGGAAGAAGATCCTGAGGCAGGGATTTGGTGCAAGTGGTTAACTGAGGGAGAGCTCTTGGGAGAAAGGGCAGGGAGGGAGAGAGCAGAGGGCAGGGGGAAATTAAGAAGGATGAGGTCTCAGCCAGAGACCAGCCACAGCCTGATTCCACGGGGGTCTCTGAAGTGTGCATTGCACCCCAGAGTCAGTCCCAGACCAAGGCAAAGAGGCTGGCCTTTTGGTACCCCTGGGCCAGTCGGTCCTTGCCCATCAGCTGCCAGAGGGAAGGACTTGTGTCATCTCTTGGGCGAAGCAGCTTCCATTCACCAGGGGCAATTTTCCAGAGAAGGAGGCAGCTGGAGCCATTAGCAGCACTGCCCCCCACCCCAGCCAACACACACACACACAGCGCAGCTGGGAGAGGGGTGGCTTGCCCAGGAAAGGTGACCTGGAGGGGCACCAGTAGCCTCTGCCTTACCAGGCTCACCTCCTGGCCATCCAGAGCAAGGCTGTGCTGCTGCAGGAGGGCATGGCAGACGGGACAGACAGGGCTGATTGGCACATGCAGGTGGCTGCTGTTTGTAGCTTGGATGGCCGATGTTTCTTGGGTCGATGGGTTACCCATGGCATCCACTGGTTTGTAGGCTGAGCGTTGGATGAAACCTGTCCCTTAGTGGATGATGGCAGACATCCTGGGCTCCCCATCAACAGCTCCCCACTCCCCTCCAAGCCCCTGCACTCAGCCGCCTGGGGTCTTTCCCCTGAGACCCCCCCTTTTAGTCCCCATGCCTCTTCTGCTTTCCCCCAGCCCAGTCCCTCGAACCTGTTTATTTCCCATTAAGATGAGATTCTATGGGAAAAGAATCTTAAAAAAAAAAGTGGGGGAATGGATATATGTATATGTATAACTGATTCACTTTGCTGGACGCCTGAAACTAACACAACATTGTAAATCAGCTATACTCCCATAGGGGACTTCCCTGGCAGTCCAGTGGTTAAGACTCCACACTTCCACTGCCGGGGCGTGGGTTCGATCCCTGGTTGGGGAACTAAGATCCCACATGCTGCATAGTGTGGCCAGCAAATAAAAAATAAAAATAAAAAGAATCATACCAAAAAAAAAAGCTATACTTTTTTTTTCCAATAAAATTTTATTTGCCAATAAAAATTTTTTTAAAAAATGAGATTTGGGGAATTCCCTGGCGGTCCAGTTGTTAAGACTCAGCACTTTCACTATGGAGGCCCAGGTTCGATCCTGCTTGGGGAGGCTGCACGGTGAGGCCAAATTAAAAGAAAAACAAAGGGATGAGATTCAGCAGTTGGCAGATGACTCATTGTTTGGGGGAAGTTCATCATTCAGAGATCCCCTGGCCTCTGAAGGTGATTTTGAGTCAAAGATTTACAAAACCCTCTCTCCATACCCTGTTGGAGTGAACGGGATAAGATCTCGAGTTTTCCTGGGACTGTGGGCCAGTCTCTTCCTGGCTAGCCTCTGCATCCTTCACCACCACCACCCGGGGCTCCTTCTGCTTCAATCCCCAGCCAGCCAGCATCTCTATGGGGGGTGGGAGGCTCAGGCTGGCAGTAGCTGTTAAAAGACCAGAAGTTCTAAAAAAATTCTCTCTCTGGCCACCTTTTTCCCCACATCTGTAGTCATTGAGATGATTTTTTTTTTTTGCGGTACGCGGGCTTCTAACTGCTGTGGCTTTCCAGCTGCGGAGCACAGGCTCCGGACGCGCAGGCTCAGCGGCCATGGCTCACGGGCCCAGCCGCTCCACGGCATGTGGGATCTTCCCGGACCGGGGCATGAACCCGTGATCCCTGCATTGGCAGGCGGACTCTCAACCACTGCGCCACCAGGGAAGCCCGAGATGATTTTTTTAAACTAATAATTATTGAGAAATTACTGTCTGCCTGGCATAGTGCCTTCCATGTTATCTCAGGTAATCCCTAAGACTGTCCTATACCATCGGGTCTTTTACTATCACTTCCAGTTTATTGATAGGGAGCCAGGTTTCAAGAGGTTGCAGCTTCCCCCAGCTGTCCAGGGAGCCCAGGATTTGAACCAATGACTCTGCCTCTCAAGCTGACTTCTGTAATAGCAGCCTCCCAGACAGCCGCCCCTGCCCTGCAGTGCGGGGGGGCCCATGGCATCAAAAGCCCAGGCATAGGATTTCCTGATCAGAGGGCCAGCTCTGCTTTCATCTCTCCTTCTGAAGCCAATAGGAAATGCTGCATCTGTGGCTTAATTTGATTCCCTGAAACAGCCTTATCTACTGAGGCAGAAAAGTCATAAACACCCAGGCAGCGAGATAAAGAGTCAGAGCTGGAAGACCTCTAGCCAAAGTTCAGTTGGAAAAGCCCCACAGAGTGTTCCTTCCTTGAGTACTGAGCACTCCCCAGCCTTGGTCCCAGCACAGCTGGGAGTGGGGGTGGGGGTGGGGGAGGGGTGGAGTGGAGAGGCAGAGGAAGAATGTTAATTACTCTCTCCCTTGGTCCCCACATCACTGCCCCAATCCACGCTCCCTGCATCCCGCAGAGTGAAACCACAGGCTTTTCAAATCTGTTCACTCTTTGATTCCATCAGGAGAGAGTCTCTCCTGGGTGATGCTGGGTCTTTAACACCTGAATCTACACTTGTCAATCTCTTGTTATGGAGAAGATCAGGCCCCAGATTCAGAGCCTTGGGCAGCTTTCTTACCCTAGTGATAGAAAGTGCCCGTTCAGGGCTTCCCTGGTGGCGCAGTGGTTGAGAGTCCGCCTGCCGGTGCAGGGGACACGGG